TACTTACCCTCCTGCTTCATCCTCATTCCCAAACGGAATGAGGATCGAAGCAGAGGGCGGGGTAAAGAAGGGGGCGGGGCTTCACCACGTGACGGCCCCACCCCCTAGAGGTTCTCTTCCGGAGCTCCGTACCTGAGAGCTCCCCCCCGACTAGAGCCCTGCAAAAAACTGACCTCTTTGCAGATGCTCAGGTTTTACCGTACACTCAGCATCAACAAACAGTAAGTAGGGGTGCCAAAGATGGGGATGGGGAATGCATGCAGAGGCATGGATGGAATATTGAGTTGTGTGCAAAATCCAGAGAGAGCTCTACTGCCGTCTACTGTAGAAAAGAGCAAGAGTCCGGTTGCACCTTCAAGACTCACAAAATATGCGGCAGAGTATCAGCTTTCATGGGTCACTGGTCACTTCTTCTGTCTTTTACTGTCTGCAGATCTCCCCCCCCCTTATGAACGAAACGGGGGGCAAATTTTTCAACCAGACAGATCTAAAACTCGGGTAAAGGCAATTGGGAATCCCGGTAATACCATTTTCAGCAGCCTGAGATTGCCGGACCCTAAGCAGAAAGGATGATTTCCCGGTGCCTTTTTTGGTCTCTCTCAATAAAAGACGCTGAGAATCAGTTAAGACCGAACCTTAGTCCAGAGGTGGCTCCATTCTTCCTCATGGTGTGCTTGCCTGTGGCAGACCCCCCCCTCCCATCGTTGTTACCTGCAAGAGAGGAGCCTGCTGAAGTGGGTTTGGGGTATGTGTGTGTGTGAAGTCTTCTAGTAACCTGACACATCTGTGAGCTGCAGAGAATTCGAACTCCAATCCTGTGTTTGTCTGGACCATAATCTGAATCGGGAATAGATGGGGAGGTGCTGCCTGTGCAGAACGGGAACTGACGTGATCGGCTAACGTGTCTCCCCCGCCAAAGCCCCCATGAGCATGTTTGCGATTTCCTGAATCCCTGTCCCAGCAGCAGTCTGCCTTGAGAAGAGACCGCGAGAGGAGATTGTCTGATACTCTCCTAGAGAATCGTGCCAATAAGTATGCTTTCTTCTACTGCTGTACCACCTCTTTCCTCCCCCCCCCCCAAGACTCTTGAGACGTAGTTTTATAATGGAGCAATGAAGAAACTGGTTCTTTTTAATTTTTTTTATTAATATTTTTTCAACTTTTACCAAAAAATCAACATTTGAAAGAAAAGAAAAAAATACACATACAATAACATACCAACATTTGAAGAGATATACATACAATAACATACTATTTTTTCAGTAAATTTTACAAAATCAAAAATAAATCATTTTTTTATATTGTGGATTGTTTGGAATTATATCATTCCTTAACATGTGGCTTACAACAGGGTACCATACAGCAACTACCTTTTTATGATATTTGTCAGGAGATGCATTCGACATTTTTATATTTAATTTATACATAATAAACATTTCCCATATTTTTTATACCATTGTTCTAAGTTAAGGCTTCCTTTTATTTGCTTTCACCTTTTTAGCTCCAGCTTTAGCCTAGCGGTGCTGCCTCTATTCCTCCGTGCCCCTCCGCCACAGCTGTCATGCGGGAATGCTCCAGATCTCTTCTGCGTCTCTCTCTCTCTCTCTGTTAGCGGAATGAATTTATTTTTGTTATTAAATATATGTGTGTGACT